TATATATATATATATATGGCATGGAATGCCATATATATATATATAGCATGGAATGCTGAAGATAAGTGATTGTCTAACGTGAAACTAACACACTATCAATGTGTTCTTCTGGAATCCGCTTTAATCATTTACATGAACTTGAAAAACAACTGGGTGGAGCCTTATCAGATAGTTTGGTCTTCAATAACTCTATAAACATTATAATCAGTTTATTTGAATATTGAACATGTTTACTGATACTCTTATCACAGGAATGTGAATGCATTTGTAATGCACTATTTGGAACCTTTGGTGTAGTAATGAATATTACTGGAGTTTTATTCCAACACCAAACCATTATTTTTGAAACATCGACACGTGTTTCAATCACAAAGTGATCATCTTCAGGAGAAAGATTAAGCAATGTTACTAATTATCAGTTTAAAATGTTAGGAATTCATGAAAACTAATTAGATATAATGGAATCATGAAAAATCATATTATTGATTATTTCCCTTATGCATAGAAACGATGAAATAGTTGAAGACTAGGCAGTGTTTACAGAGTTTCACAGCGATGAAATAGTTCTTCCAAACAGCGATAAAATGGATAGAGATAATACTGTCAGCCATGAAATTAACATTTATATGTCAATGATAAAATCGAACGAAATATTCTGATGAGTTAGTTGAAACAAAAAATGAGCAAAAATGAATATGCAGCGATTATTTGAAAGTAAGTAGGTACGCTAATTTGTAAAGCAGAAAAATTATTGTCACTTGGATATTCTAACCCCTCTGGTACAGAGCGGGAAGATGCATATGAATTTGACTTTCAGGATGTTGAGAGTGAAATCCATATGCAGTCCAACAGGATTGGTGTGGATTCCAGAAAGTCGTGGAAGAATCTCAAATGTTGGAAGATGCAAGATAACCATATACCAGAGAAATACAAAAAATTATGATAAGAAAAATCCTTCTAGTAGTAGCCAGCAATTTATGAACGGTGGGCAAGCGACATTGAAATCACACAGAAAATTTGAAATACATGTAAATTGGGGGAACATTTTTGTCCCAATCCCTTCTATATTCAATATGTGTGATTATCAAATTATCATAGATTCTCTTAAAAAATTTCAAATTTATGAATTCAGTTCACAAATAAATAATGATTCATGCTGAAATATCGACGACTTCGAAACATTAACAAAAAAAACAATCAAAATCATTCATTTATAAATGAAGAGATAGCAGTTATCATAATACAACCAGTATAATTAGAAAACGACGAAATGTTTCAAGTTCAAATCCAGTAGATGTAATACAAAATATGGAAATAATTGTTACAACTTATTGACCTTTCTGAATATTTGAAACTCAATATTTGTCGTAGTACTCGTATAGCAGGTAATACTAGTCATAAAAGTATATTTTTTTCATGTTACCTCTTGAAATAATTCAAACAAAATGGCGTCAGTTTGAAGCAGTATGAAGATGAAAAATTATCTTTTGTGATGTATAGATCTTTTTTTAATAATAATTATATTCTCATGTGGTGATGTACATACATCTATATTTCTTCAATCCTATTAGTTAATTAGTGAATTGAAAAAAACGGATTCATTAACAATAAACGATAAAATAAATTATTCTCTTTACCGTACAAAAATTGAAAAAATGTATCGGTAGAAACATTTTCTATTTGTGTTTATCTTTCCGAAGACAATGACTACTGTTTTGGTAAAGACATACGAAATAGATATTGAGAAGCTCTTCTGAATGAAGAAACTCACCAATTCCAAAATGTTACGAAGGCTTTACCAAAGCCAAACTCGAAAAAAGGCATAAGCGTGCGTTCAACGGAATTTGAAATCAATGAATTATCCCTACCTTACAGAGAATGTCTGCCATAACCATGCGGCCCTCAGCATCTGTGTTGACTACCCGCACCCTCGCTCCTGATCTCGCAGTTATAACTTCATCAGCCACATAGCTATTGGATCCTATGCTGTTTCTCACGACTCCCATCCCACCAACTACTCGAATATTTTTAGGCTGCAGAAGGTTGACAATCTGCATGAAACCAGCTACTGCTGCCGCACCACATTTATCTCTAGACATCCCTATCATGTTTCCGCTGATTTTGACATCTGCACCACCAGTGTCGTATGTTACACCTGTTTTGAAAAAGAAAATAGATATTATAACTATATTAAATGAACCTAATATTCCTCATTTGACAGAATTTATGTTGAATGATCACAAATTTCCGGCAGAAAGAAATTTGTTCTTGATCAAAAATGTTTTCAGTTATTTGGCCGTTTTATATCAATAATTGAAAATTTATAAAACTGAGCCTCCACTTAACCACTTTCTATTGGAAAATACGCAATGTCACTTCCTGAATTCATTTGTAGGTGCCCGTTGGTTTTTGTTAGAAACTAGGACGTTTGATAATTTAATGTTTTGAAATATACTGTTCAAAAAATGAACTGAATTAATTTTTTTTGAAATATTCATTCATTTATTGATCAATTTCTATTTTGTCCCCTTCAATATAGTCCCCCTCAGATACATTTGTGCTAGCACAAGTGTGTGTGATATGTATTTTTTGGTATACCCTTGAGCTCTCTCAGCGATTCGGTTTTCATCTCTTCAATAGTCGCAAAACGCCGTCCTTTGATGACGTGAACTTGGAATGCGTGAGGGGTATGCGTTTACCCCTCATGCCAATAAGTTGCCGAACATGGGATCATTAATTATCAAATGGGACCATTGATTATGAAACAAAAGTCATCAATTCTAAATACGTTAAATAATCGATCGACAATAAATACTGAAAAAAAAAACTGGGTTTTGAATACATTGGCTCGTTACTTGGTGTAAATCAATAACACTATTCAAATAATAATCACAAAGTTTCACAATATAGAATTTATTTCTAATACGCATTTCACTACAACTGGTCCAATTGAGGGAGCTACGGTTGTAGTGAAACGCGTATTGAAAATAAAGTCTATCTTTTGAAATTTTGTGATTATTATCGTGAATTTTATGAAAGAATGACGTTACCAAGAGATATATTATTGAATTCCACTAATGTCATGGATACATACCCGGCAGCTAATCTGGTTTATTTTCAGAAATCATCGAAAATAAAATAAAGATCTAATTCAAATTTGCTATAGATCATTAATTTGGAAACAGAATCTAAATTTCTATAATGTTACCTTATTACTCGAGTTCGACAAAATAAAAATATTGGCGGTCAGACAGGTAGTTCAATTTATTCTGGGCGGATTCCAACTGTGTTTTTCAAATGAAAACCTATATTTTTTATCGTTTTTTCGGTTTCTAGATAGAAAATAAAAGACACTTTATGAATATCTTCACTTCGAAAATATTGACGGTTTTCGAGATATCTAACATGACAGGTTTTTTTTTCCAATATTCGTCACTCATAATATTTGAAATTATAAAGTTGTGCCAAGTCCTATTGAATTTTTTTTGGTCAGATATTCTACATTGGTAACTCTCTCAACCGATATATCTGAAATCTACCTGTGATATACAGGGTATGAAAAATCGCTTGCCACATATTGTAAATAAAAATTTGCAGAATCTTCCTTATTTTAAATGGAACACCCTGTATATTATTGATCCATAAGGAGCGCCAACGAAACCTCTACGAATTTCATTGAGTATTTCCTATAGCTAGGTTCTATAGTTTTTCTTAACAAAGCATTTCTTTCGAAAAATGGTCGTTCTTCCTATTTCATCGCCATAAACTCGATGAAAGACTTTTTTCAAAGCAAATTCCATTTGACGACTGATAAGAATGTACGAAAGATATCTTGTTTCAATTTTGTTCATTTTAACGTGTCCCATAGTTTTTTTATGAAATTGACAACTCTCTATTGTATCGCCATAATATCAATGATTTTTTTACTGTGAAATCCATATGTGACGGCTGTGATCGAGATATATGATATATGAACACATTCGTTCACCGTGCACTTTATCGATTTGATGCATAGTTTTTGTTCAAGCCTTTCCTCAAAATATCGCCCTATGCTTAAAATTACCTGTTGCTAGATGAACAAGTTTTGAATTACACCGCAAAATGTACGTTCTTGAATAATTACAATAATCTCGAAATTTGTTCCGTATTTTGTCGGTCTAAAACAACCTTCAGTCAATGAAATTAAATTAAACGATTTGTTGAAACTGGGTGCCAGCTACTAGAAGCTAGCTACCAATGAAGCTAATGAATTGCAAGTTCTTCTTGCTGTTGAAGAAGATCCTAGTAGGAGTCAACGACAAATTGGTGAAATAATGGATATAAGTGAGAGATCAGTACAACGAGTTTTGAAGAAACATCGCTTTCATCCATCTCATACTACTGTATGCTGATTTTGAGAAAAGAGTGAGATTTTGCAATTGGGCCATGGGAAAAATTCGTCGAAACTAATATTTTTTCAATAACATTTTATGGTCGGATGAATCGACATTCCATAAAATTGGATTTGTGAATCGACATAATTACCATTATTACTAGACAGAAAATCCCCACTTATTGAGACAGGTGGACTATCAACATAGGTGGTCGATAAATGTCTGGGGAGGCATCATTGGAGAATATGTATTTGGCCCATACTTTTTTCAGGGACATATGAATGGAACAATGTATGTGCACCTGCTCACTAATCGGCAGAAGTGAGAGATCATTTTTGGGAAAGAAAGTTTTTGGCTTTCTACTACTCCATCTTGATACAAAAAAACAAGTATGAAAAAATCTTCCAAGGAAAAGAAGGAAGTAATCAATTTTAAAATAGGTAACTCTATACATGGATGTGTAGATCATGCAAAGAAGTAACTTTCAGTCACAAACTGAAAGAAACTTATAGAAAATACACACAGTTCATTCATGAATTACGATTTTCAATGTCACGGAATAAGCTTGATCTGCATATGTCATCGATGACATCGTAATGTCATTCATTCACCTATTTGATTTAATCCCAGCTGAGAGGAATCTTATTTGAATTGAAGGGGTTATATTTTTAGGAGTGATTGAATTTTTTCTTTCGTGTAATTCAATGTTTATATGAAAGTAGCTGTTTCAGGAGGACTTTCTTTCAGTTTGTGTCTGAAAGTTACTTCTTTGCATGATCTATACATCCATGTATAGAGTTACTTGTTTTAAAATTGATTACTTCCTTCTTTTCCTTGGAAGATTTTCTCATCCTTGTTTTTTTGTATCAAGATGGAGTAGTAGAAAGCCAAAAACTTTCTTTCTCAAAAATCAATCACTCCTAAAGATATAACCCTTTCAATTCTGAGAAATCAACTGAATGAAGTATTTCCCAATAAATGTATAGGACGGAATGGGCCTGTACGCTGGATCACCAGATTTAACAAAACTGGATTTTTTCTTATGGGGATACATAAAAAATATGGTTTACGTCGAGCCACCGAGCCACCAGCTGCTTCCGAAAATATGCGACTTAGAATAACGAATGCTTTTGACAGCATTACACCAGCTGTTTTGCGCAGGATAGAACAATCTTTCAAACATAGACATCAGCTCTGCATTCAAGAAAATAGAAGACATGTCGAACATATTTTATAAAAGTTTCATTATCGACCTACATTAAACTCTTCCTTTTTTATATTTGTAGTTTGTCAGTTGAAAAATTTAAATATCTAGAACTTAAGCCTTGAATTCATGAATATACACCATAATATGAAAAAAGAAATAGTAATATTCATAATGTGTTTTCATTTAATATTGTTTGGTTTGATGTTGCACGATTCATGGGAAAAATTCTGCATCCAATAAAGAAAATAATTTTCCATTTAGAAAAATGTGATAGGTACATACATTTATTTCGTAAAAAAATATTTGTTTGGACACGCTATTATGTACCAAATAGATATCTTTTGTATATTCTTATCAGTGGTCAAATGGACATCGAGTTTATGACGTAGAAATAGGAAAAACGACCATTTTCCGAAAAAAATGCTTTTTTAAGAAAGAATATTGAACCCAGCCATAAGGAATACTCAATGAAATTTGTAGAGGTTTTGTTGGCGCTCCTTATGGATCAATAATATACAGGGTGTTCCATTTAAAATAAGGAAGATTCTGCAAATTTTTATTTACAATATGTAGCAAGTGGTTTTTCATACCCTGTATATCACAGGTAGATTTCAGATATATCGTTTGAGAGAGTTACCAATGAAAAATATTTGACAAAAAAAATTCAATTGGACTTGGCACAACTTTATAATTTCAAATATTCTGAGTGACGAATATTGGAAAAAAAATCCTGTCATGCTAGATATCTCGAAAACCGTCGAAATTTTCGAAGTGAAGATATACATAACGTGTCTTTTATTTTCTATGTAGAAACCGAAAAAGCAATAAAAAATATAGGTTGCTATTGAAAAAAAAAACACAGTTGGGATCCGCCCAGGAAAAATTGAACACCCTGTGTGACTGCCAATATTTTTATTTTGTCGAGCTCGTATAATGAGGTAATATTATAGAAATTTAGATTCCTATCTGTTTCCTAAATAGAGATATGGAAAACGGCGCCACTGTTGCAGGACCCTTTATATATATTCATATGGACTTCTATTGGTATATGTTGTGATGAGTAATCATCAGAATTATTAAAAAAATCTAAAAGTTTAAGACGTTGTCACATTGTGATCTGAACGAAAAGAAATGAATAATTCAACTTTATTTGAAAACAGTATTATTTATTGCCTCACCTTTTCCTACCAAAAACAAAGTCTTTTGAACAGTGTCTGTGGGATTATACTCTAGAAAGATTATTCTTCCTCGATGTCTTTCTTGTACGCTAGCCGCTCTGTCTACTGCTTCGAATAGGGGATACTCTTTCTCGAATTCACTTCTATTGTCCACGACATTCATTTTGATATTTGTACCAGAGAACAAGCTCCGAACGTATTGTTCAATTTTCGGTGGAGCCATTCTCTCTGGATCGCTGTCTCCAATGTCACATGCTATCCTTCTTCCCGTTTCTAAAATTTTAGCAGTGGTTACGAGACTTTTCGTTTTGTCCGAATTGTGAGTGAAGACACCAAGATATTCCACTTTTTGGGTTTTGGAAGGATCATGTTCACGGACCTGAATTGGCTAAAAAAATAAATGAAATTAATATATTTCATCGTTCACGATGAAATTATTTGTCACATCTCATTTAATGTTTTAACAATGAGTGACCCATTAGTGTGAGAAAGTCCAGGCTCGCCGTTAGACGGAAACAAACAAGTTTTGAAAGGAAGTTATAATAACATTGGTTAAAACTGAAAATTTGGGTCTACCAGCATAACTCCGATAATTGGGTAATTCTCTCATTGAGTTGCAGTACTGTTTCAATTTCACCAACATAACGTTCGATTAGAGAAACTAAAAAAAAAGTGATAGTTGTGTCGTTCAAATCCCTTTAGATATGTTTGTTCTAACAAATTTTTTTAAACTCTTCGAAAAATATTTACTGTCAGTAATATATAGAAATGAAATATTTACTGTCAGTGGTGACTGGGATAACACAATCAAGAATTGAAAATTTGTGATGAAATTCATATCATTTATATATTCCATCTAATATTGAAAATTGAAATATAGAATATCTCTTAAGAGCGATACTGGTAGAAGTGAGATAAAATTTGTGAATGCGATTTGAAACTCGTAAAAATGTGTCATATTCAACTTATATAGTGTATATGTTGCAAAAATTAATTATTTTCCTAAATAAGTTCAACATTTCTTTTTCTGAATATCACTGGAGTTTTATTCCAACACTGAACAGTTATTTTTAGCACCTCGACACGTTAGTTTAATCTTCCTGTTGAGTATGATCACTTGGTGATTGAAACACGTGTAGGGGTGTTAAAAATAACGGTTTGGTATTGGGATAAAACTTTAGTAAAATCTCTTTGGCAATTTAACAGCCATTGTTTTATTTTTTATTCGAAGAGATTGATATTATTTCTGTTCTTTATTTCGTCTTGGTGCCAGATAATTACAATGACGATGTACTATTGTTTTATCGCAGCGTGGTACGCTTAACGAATTATATTTACTTCTGGTATCATGTTGATATGCCACAAATTTTGACGGTATTTTTTTATATTCAGGATCAGAGATAAATAAAAAAAGTTGCCTGACATCACATAAGCCTGATTCGTTATACAGCTGCTCATTTCGAAATGTTATTGTTATGCCCAATATGATTCTCAAAATCCATCTGTGAATTGTGTTCAACTTTTCCAAGTGATTGTCATTCACACCACCCTTACTACTTATTTGAGTGAATTAAAAGTTTTGGTGGATTTCGACTCAGGAGTTAAAATAAATTAAAAATGATTTTACATTCACTCTAAACATTAGGTCAAAATATGTTCACAGTTTTGTACAAAAGAAAATAGTGAAATGTCTGATTGAATCTGAATTATGATTGATACATGAAAATAATGGGACCAAATAACTTGACAAAGAAGGTTAAATCTCGAATTAATTTAATTTACGACTATTTGAATATTGTCGGGATAATGGAAATAGCATTATCAGAGTGCCCTTGCAAACGTTTTCTATTGTCATCCATTTGTATAAGCCTAATATAATGTGACATTATTAATAATATTAATTTATTTACACTACAAATTTATTATTGAAGGATAGTAACACGTCGAATGAAGAGTCCAGTGAAAAAGACCTCATAAAATATAAAGAAGTGAGTGAATTTTTTGTTTTTGTTTCTCTGTTCATTCTACCTGAACTGCCTGAACAATGATGCAATACTTGCGATAGTATGGATGTTGATTCAACATCCATACTATCGCTCCTTGGTAAATTGTCAGTGATTTCAAAGGTAATTGGAACTATTGAATTACATAGTTAAGAGGGAACTACATAGTTGGAGTGTCATAGTAACTGTTGATGAAAACAAAGCTGACGGGGAGATGAATGTATCCAAGTTTCACTTCAAAAGATATTGTGACAAGTCAAACAAATGACCGTGTATAAAAAAGTAGGTTGAAAATCTGTTAGTTTTTTTAATCTTCTGATGATGAGAAACTAGTTGTCGCATCTTCCATTGTGAATATCACATAAAAATATGATATTTTTCCATACATGTACTATTCGCAAAATGGAAATCCATTTATTCTATTCTTTGAACATGTTTTGCTGAAATAGAAATTCATTCAAACTATTCCATTCATATTTTATAAAATATAAAGCGTTTGACAGCTCATTAATCAGATTACTCACGTTTAAACAAAATTAAGTCATAATAAAATGTGTCCCTCGGGATTAAATTTTTGACAGTGCTTTCTGGAGACATCAGAATGTTCAATAACATGCTAACGCTACTCTGTACTTTTGAATTTTAATATAAATGAAATTTAACAAGGTGTCTCAATATATTAGTTTGATTTTCTGAGGATGAGCAAAAAAAAAGGAGTCAACTTCTCGGTGAGATACACTACAAATTTTTATTTTAGAAGGTAGGGAGAAGTGAAACCCCCTAACGGTTGTTAGAACGTACACAAAATGTTTATTGAAGCTGTTTAGAATCGAAAAAAACAATTTTTTTGTTCAATAGAATTGTTTTCTGTCGTCCGGAAAACGAGATATTTTTCGAAAATTCCTACGACATATGGGTTTCGATTGGGAATCAAGATCAGAAAACACAAAAAATATAAAGATGGGAAAATCTAGTTTCGGGTGATTTCCTGGGAAAATATCGGTCTGTCTAAATTGAAAATGTCATTTCTGGAGTTCTCCACTACAGAAATGTTGAATATGTTTTTCTCGATATTTTCACTAGTAGGGAAACGAAAAACTCAAAATTGAACATTTTCTTCAACTACTGATGATATGAGAAAGTAACACGAAAACATATATTTACATTTATTGTGTTCTGTAAAAAATATTTGAAACATTCGAAAGTTCACGAAATAATGTCTGTGGAACGATTTCAGTTCTATATATTCCGAGCGAGTCAACATGAACTTATGGAGTTTGAACTCATGAAGAAGAAGCACCTATTTATTTTTGGGAGAGTCGAATGTGAGCAATCTGTTTATTCCCATTTTTCTCCCAAAAGACTTGAAGTACAAAATCTCCATGATATCCACGATAATAATTACATAATTTTCACAAACATTTTTATTTCTAGAAGCGTGTCGTTATTAGCTGTCTAGAAATAAACATTTTTGTGAAAATTGTATAATTATAATCAAGGATATTATTTCGTCTAATTACCACTCATTTTCACCAAAGCAGATAAAGGAAACATCATCGTATGAAAATGCAAGTATTGTTGGATAAATATTACTGGAGTTTTTTCCCAACACCAAATCATTATTTTTAACACCTCGACACGTGTTTCGATCACCAAGTGATCATCTTCAAAGAGGAAGATTAAAACTGTTTTACAGTTTTACATTTTTAGATTTAGATTAAGAATGTAAAACTGTAAAACAGTTTTTATCTTTGGACATGTTGATCACGTACTGGTTGGTTTTGATAGTTCAAACTGACAAATTAATGAATTTCTATACTTTCTCAATAGTCTGCGTAACAAAATTAAACTCATAGTAGAAATCGAACAAAACAAGGAGCTTAACTTCTTTACTTTGAATACTTTAAGATTCAATTATGCTTTTCATTTCAATATTTACTGAAAAAATACGTTCACAGACTGGTCAATTCCCTTTGACTTTTTGACTGTTTCAGTCCACTCTCACATTATCCGCGCTTAGGTAGATGGATACACCGAGCTTTCGCAATCCCTTTACCTGAGAAGAATTTCCCAGATGAACTGAAAATAATTAGGCAATTTGCAGCAAACAATCAGGTACCAATTTCTCTAATAGAAAAGATAATATCAGGTAAAGCTCACAAAACACTTATGATTGATATGTAATTATAGTTTGGAAAATAATGTGAAATTCAGTTCTCCGAAACTACCATTCGTTCGGTTGTAGTATTTATAAAATTGATAATCAATAGTAGTTCTGAATCTATTGAAAACACTTTCCCAACACCAGAACAAAATTACGGTGTCTCGAGGCGTGTTTGGCTAACCAAGTTAGCGTCCTCGGCAGATCATTATGACTAAATTTCAATACTATGTTAGTATTTTTCAATGCTAGTGGCCTGACTACTACCTGTTAGTAGTACATAACTACTACCGGTTAGTGTATTACCAAACTCTACCTGTAGTCTGGCTCACATGTACTCGATTTAGCTTTTTTTGGTGACATTTTTCAGCCCTGTCCAAAAATTACGACAAAGGTGTCATTTGATTCGTGTTTTTGCCTCGAAAGTTTAAGGGAAGGTCTGAAAACGCGCCGATAAAAATTACAATGTCTCAACTCCCTACACAGTAGGTTAATGCACTGACACCTCTCAGGAAACAACTACTCCCCTAGCTAATACCACGAAGGGCGTTGGATTTTATCCGACAGGTGTCAGTGCAGAATTCTTCACAGAAGTTATTCCTGCATATGCTGCCGCAATAGATTTTCAATTATTGGAACACACTTGCAGACCGGTTTGAAGCTGTTTGGCCACTCGTCAGTGCAAGGTAGTGTATATCATCAACATAAAGTCGATGATTTCCGATAATTGAAAATCGAATTCCGCCAGAGTATCTCAGAGACTATATGCGAAAGTTTTCTTTCCTTATACGAGGAATTGGGCAAATTTCGGATATGCAGTTGGTTACGTCGTTCACAGGCAGATGGGGCGACGACAAACCTGTTGTTTGTCGTATGCTTCAGCTTAGTTCGGGGAATAATGATACTCTGACGGAATTCGATTTTCAATTATCGGAAATCATCGACTTTATGTTGATGATATACACTACCTTGCACTGACGAGTGGCCAAACAGCCCGAAACCGGTCTGCAAATATATTCCAATAATTGAAAATCTTTTGCGGCAGTTGTACCGCCAACAGCATATACAGGAATAACTTCTGTGAAGAATCCTGCACTGACACCTGTCGGATAAAATCCAACGCCCTTCGTGGTATTAGCTAGGGGAGTAGTTGTTTCCTGAGAGGTGTCAGTGCATTAACCTACTGTGTAAGGAGTTGAGACTGGCCTGAACGAATTGTTCTTA